TCAGAAGGGCTAGAGAACAAGTACTCTTACTCTACTGGCTCCCATTTAAGGCCAGCACACATAAAACATCCCATAAAATAGTTGACAGGTTAGGAAATAGGAGTTTCAGAGAACAAGTGGAAAGGTTTGAAAGGGAGCAACAAGCAGGATTGGGAGAGAGTAAGAGGAAGCCAAGTCAGCACCAGAATAACCGTACAGAAGAAAAAGAGATGACTGGAAGAACTAAGACAAAGATAACAGAGAATAAGACTTGCTGGGTTTATATGGCCAAAGCTTACCAAAATAATCAGTTCCAGCAGTTCTCTGATGGCTAGGGAGTTAGCACTAAGACCTTGGCAATGGTTTGGTTAAAATCCGTCATTTACAGATGAGGACAACATTTGAGTATCTATTATGTATTTTTCACATTATGTAAAGTGCAATACACACACTACTTTAGTTAAGCCTTACACCTACACCTTCCCTCACTTTATAAATGAGGGAACTGAGGATCACAGAAGCAAAGTGACCAACCCTGTGTTGTATTATTTAGTGACATTGAGGACCCAGGCTTCTTTTTCAAATCTTAATAAGTATGGAAATATAAAGAAGAATTTGAAATTGGAACATCTTTAGTCACTTTCTTCTTTTTTTTAGTCACTTTCTACCAGTGAGATCGTGTATGCTTTTAACTCCACTAAGCCTGTCTACCAAAGAAGGTTATTGCAAAGATTAAGCAACAACTACAAAATAAATCCTAGTAGTTATCTTTTTTAACTTATTTCTCAAATGTGAATTTCTTACTTGGTTTATTTCAAAAACAAATTCAAAGTTTCTAAATTAACACCTATAGATTTTACAGTTAGGAGACTGAGGTAGAGAGGGAGAATGTACAATCTGTGGCTCCCTAGTATATTTAGAATGAAGTCCAAGCTTCTACGTTTCAGGTCTTTAATACTATGGCCCCAACCCACCTCTTTAGCCACATCTCTCACTACTGACTTACACAAATATAATACTTAACCTCTGTCAACTATTAATTTTTAAAAACATATGATATACTATCCCCATTTTGTAGTTCCACCTAAATTATTTAATCTATTTCAATGTGCTCTCCAAGGCCTAAATATAATTCATCTTGAGTGCAAAGCCTCACCTGGTCCCAGCTGTTGAGAAACGACGGCTCTACCTCCAAAGTTCTGGGCCGTTTTGCTTGACCTCCCTCAGAGTATACACTGCCTTTTCAGTCAAGCACGAAACAATTTCATTCCTGCCAGCAGAGTTTGCATCCCTTAAAGGGAGCTGGAAGAGAACTACCATACACTTCACATCTCTGAAGTGTCAATTGCTTTTCTTGTGTGTGTGTGTATGTACACATTACAGTATTCACACACACACACATTATTTCAGGTGATCTTTGTGACACCCCACAAAGCAGAAATCTATTTTTTACACATAATGATACTGAAAGTCACAGAGGTTAAACAATTTGCTTACAGTCTTAAGGCCAGTAAGCGACACAGCTGAGATTTGAATCTCAGTCTTTCTAAACCAAAGCCTAGGCTCTTAATTATACTCTTTCCACAAACCATGGGTATATCCTCACTACTGATTGCTTCCTATCTATTCACTAACCATCACAGAAAAAACATCTATGGACTTTTTGTCATTAAGTATTAGCAGAAAGGATTTGATATAGGGTATCTGCTCTCCTGTTTTTCAAGACTAAGAACAGACTTTTCAGACCCAACACAACAACTAATATGAGATCAGAATAAAGATGAACAGATCAGTATCCTGCTTCCAGGAAGGAAAAGTAAAAAACCATTACTTTTCCATTCCTGCATTTATAAATTCCTTCTCCTCTGAGATTTCCACCATCTGGCTATATCAATCCTTACCCCTCCTCCTCATCTGTCTTCTACCACCCTCCCGATTAATCCCTTATATTCACTGCACCTGGGTCACAATCTCTCTCCTCCGCATCCTAAATCACTTCACTACTGATGCAGAAGACTCGTTCCATACAACAGCCTCCCAGTTCCCTGTCACACTGAGCTTCACCAGCCTTCACCTTTGCTGTACTTCAGCAATCCACACACAGACCTAGCTGTCAGTGAGAAGACCTTCACATCAGACAATTTAACTCTAATATTCCACTTTCTGACCACAACCTCTTGGTTTTTTTCCTATTTTACTTCCACCACGTTTGCTCATTGATCTCACTCAAAAAATCACAAAACCTCTATGTCCCAAACTGCAATCATTATCCAGTGTTTCCTGTCTCAGTTAATTTCACCATCATCTCCCCAGTCACCCAAATCAAAAACCTAAACATCACACTGGACTACTCACCCTCTGATCTACACACCCAATCAATCATAAAGCCTCACAGATTCTCTCAACTTCATCCCTCTCTCTTTATCCCTATAATCTCATTTTAAAATTATTCAAGCATATCTATAAAAACCTTCCAGTGATTTAAAAAAATCACCCACTGAATTCATTTCAAGATACTTATGCATACACGGTTCACCATGACATGGGCTCTGATTGTATTTCCAGTCTCACAACTTACAACTTATATCACTATTGTTATTTCTTAGCAGTACCAAACTGCTTGTGGTTCCCTAGGCAAGCTATTCCTTTTCTCACACTGATGCCTTTCCTCAAGCTATTCTATTTGAAGCACATTTTTTTTTTACTCCCCTTTGTCTGACTTACTTCTACTTACCATTTAGGACTTGGGCCAGGTGTCATCTCTTCCTCAAGCCTTCCCTCAAGTCCTGAGCTAGTCTGAGTACCCTCCCCTTGGTGCAAGTATCAAGCGGCAAAGCTCTCACTTTTTATTCTGAGATGACCTATTTTAGCAACTAATTCACCATTTCCACAAGGACTGGAAATGTATCTTACTTATCTCTGTCTACCCAGTTAACATAGTACATAGCATAGTGCCTGACATACAGTAGATACATTAAATATAATGTTTAGAAGATGTTGCATTTACATTTTCAGTAGGATAGTCACAACAGATCTTTCTCATAGGTTTTAGTATTTCCTACCATTAACTCCAACTCCTTTGAAGGGAAGGAATCAGAGCTTTTCCTGAGTCTGTACAGTTCTGTACAGAACACTGCTATACAAAATCTTATCCAACTTATATAAAAGGGAAACAGTATGTGCACAAACATACCAGAAATCAAAACTTGACCTGTGCTGCAAACTTCAAAACCACTGACCAGTTGAAAAAATGAAGACATAAGAAGAAAGATAAAGAACCAATTCTGACTGCTGGTATGTGCTTGTTTATGTTATAAAAACAGTGAAATTTTGCTTAGGACATAAACCAGGTCCCAGATATAAGGGCTTGACATTTTATCTATAAGATCATCATATCTCTGCTAAGTTTAAAAAATTACTAACCTGCAGGGTGGCTTAGGCAAGGGTTCAGGATGTTGGTAAAGACCCTATTTAAAAACATAACCCCACAAACCAAGGTTAAGTGATAAAAAAGTAAGTTAAAAAAAAAAAAAGCCGGTTGGTATGTGAGCAACAACAACAACAAAATGTCCTTTTTCATAGTAATCTGGGCCTCGCGTTGGCAGTTATAAAGAGAGCAAAGAGTTCAATATAATAAAGCATTTCCCTCTCCAACTAAATATTAAATTGCAGTCTGGCATCAAATGAGATCTCAAAGCTTTTCCAGTATAAAAAATAATAAGCTCTTCTATTTGCATGGTGCACTGCACACTTCAATATACACAGGCTCATTTGATAAAGTGTTTATAGACATTTTAAAAAATGAGGGAAAAGCCAAAATTTTCCACAAAATAAGAACTTTTAGTTGGTTTAAACAAACAGTACTAGATGTCTTTTTTTTTTTTAAAGTTCAAAACACAGTACAGAAATGAGTAAAGGAATAGAGTACCTTATATTTAAGCAGGTCACTCCTTGGAGCCAAAAGAGTGTCTTGCAGCAATTTAATAGGTTTTGTCTCCTGGCTCACATTAAGAAGCTCTCCTTTAAAGGGCAAACTAGAGTTCATTCAGAGAAGGAATGAGAGAACCCCAGCCTAAGAGAAACAACTGACGGGAACTGGAATCAGTTAGTGAAGACAAGGCTCCGGGGACATGATCTTCAGATATCTTATTGGGTGTAAATAAGGGAACAGAAGAAGGAAGAATTGGAGGCATCTATTTCTTTCAACCAAAACAAACAAACAAAAATTTCGAAACAACAAAGCTTTCCAGGAACGAACAGGTTTCCTAGGGAAGAGATTAGTTTCCCGTCACTGGAGATCTTCAAATAGACCGGTCAAATTATTAGGGTAGAATTTGGGATTTTCGAAGCTACTTTGGTATGGGGGCGAGAGAAACGGATCCTAGATGACTTTTAAATTCCCTTCTAATCTGGAGACGTTCTGGGGTTCACCTATCTCCTGGAAACCCCTTTTCATTCCTCTGGGGCTGGCCCACAGCCGTGCCCACGTGTCCAAGCCCTCCCGGCCCCTGGCTCACCTCAGTGCCCAGAGGCCCCCGCCCCCATCGGACGTTGGAAACCAGCTCTCCCCGCCGGTTTCCGGCGGCACACGTGAGTTGTCCCGGCGCAGCTCCCGCGGCCCGAGCCAGCCCGGAGGACGCGGCTGACAGCTCCCCGCCCTTCGCACCTCCAACCCTCGGCGGAGCCAGGAAGCCCGCCGACCTCGGTCCTCGCCCGCCCCGAACCGGATCCGGCCGGCGAGGATCCACAGGCATCTCTCAGCTCTCCTGTCGGAGCAGACTGACAGCTCCTCCAACTCTTGGCCCTCGGCCCAAAACCAACACTCTCCGGCCGACCCAGCCCCGCTAGCCTGGACACAACGACCCCCCGCTCGGATCGCACGCGATGCCGACCCTCCAGAGTCCCCGTGTCCTTGAGTTTTTCCCTCGCGGAGCCCCGGGGTGCCCCTATTGAGTGAGGGCCGCGGGCCCGATACTGGGCCCCGCCGGACCGGCCGCGGATGCAGAACGCCGCGGGGGTTCCAGGACCGCTGAGTAGGCGGGCGACAGCCGCGCTCGGACCCCTGACAGGCTGACCGGTCAGGACACACAGACGGACAGTAGGGCCCGAGGGGCGGGGGCAGCGGCCCGGCCGGTCCCGGCGCCTCCTTCTCGCCCGGGGCGGCCCCTGGCGGCCCAGGCCCCTCAGGGCGCGGGCTTTCCCGGCGAGCGGAGGCGGCCACCGAGGCGCTTACCTGCGGGCGCAGCGACGGCGCGGGGCGGCTCACTCCTTGCCCGCCGCCATGTTTCCGCTGCGCAGCGATGGCGCGCGCCTGGGCCGTTGGGCCCGCGCGGAGCGGGGGCCCGGAGGAGGTGGGGGGTGTGTGTCTGTGTGTGGGGAGTACGGGTAGGGCGCCCCCAAGCGGCCCGGCCCAGCCAGCGCCCGCTGTCAGTCTCCTCCCGCCTTATACCCCGCGGCCCAGATCCACACCCCCACTGGCCCTGCGCGCCCCCTCTTAAGGGAGGGTAAACTGAGGCCTGGAGAGGGCTCGGGGACCCGGTGGTGGGTGACGTTAAGCGAGTTACCTCTAATCTCTACCGCAGGACCTTCACCTCTAAAGGAATATCATTCAATCCAGAAGGTTGGTGTGAAGATAAAATAAGTTAATGCTTGTGAAGTCCATGGGAAACAGTGCTGGGAACCCAGTAAGTAAATGCTCAGTAAATAGAATATGCTGCCGTCCCTTAACTGGTTGATCCTTTCAACAGATACTTAATGCATTGAGCCCTATCCATGTACCTGTTCACAGACTCGTTCTGTCAGTAAACAGTTTTTGCTGCACTCCTCTGGTTAAACGGCCTGTCCACTTTTACCATCCCTGTTTTAGCAGAGAGGAAACTGAAGCTCTGGGAGGTGAGGCTACTTGTCCGGGGTCGCCCAGACAGTAAATGGCTGAGTGGAGATCCACCTCCAACCTGACTTCAGAGCCTGTGCTCTGCCAGCAGGGAGTCATCAGCTGTCAGGATGGGTCGGAGGAGGCACTTTGAGAGTCAAACACTTTCAAGTTGGTTCTTGAAAGAGCCTGCAAGGAGGAAGCTTATTTCAGGCAGAGGGAAGGAAGTGTGCGTAAAGACACATGATAGCGGATGGGATGGCTGGTTGGCGTGACTGGTGGAGCGGGAATATGGGAGACTGTGGATGTGGTGATGATGGTTCTGAAGGAGGTCTTTGTGTAGCTAGAATGACAATTAATGTCCTTGTATGTAATTTATTTTATAGGCCAGTGGTTTTCATAGTATGTAGTTCTGGTACTCCTTGGTGTCCCTGAGATCTTTCAGAGGTCAGTGAGCTCAAAATTATTTTCAAATTAATGCTAAATGTGATTTGCTTTTTTCACTGTGATTCTCTCATGAGTGTACGGTGACGTTTTCCATAGACTACAGGACAGATGATATTTCAACACATTAAATGCGGAAACAGATTTGAGAATCCAGCTGTCTTCTTTAAGCCAAGTGTTAAAAAAACTTGTACAAATGTTAGACACCACTTTTCTCATCAATATTTTGTTTTAGAAATTATGGAAATTTTTTATTAAAATGTGATCATGTTAACATGTAATGTGTTTATTGTACTTTTAAGTGAATTAACAAAATTTTAGAAGTTTCTGTTTTAATTCCTAACATGGTAAGTAATGTTAGAAGTAACAAACAGTACATGAAAAATCTCTTCAAGTTCCTCCATAATTTTTAGAGTGGAAAGGGGTCCTGAGCCCAAAAGGCTTATGAATACCTGCAATAGCCTGTAAGAGGCTATTGAAGTTTTAAGTAGGAGAGTGACTAAATCAGATTTTCGTTTCAGAAAGAGCTTTCAAGATCCAAGCCCAGCCTGGAGGGGTGCGTTCACAAGGCCTAGGCATGCTAGACAGAAGGATAGAAACAGAAGTGCAGGCTGGTAAGCAACAGAGCTAGGACCCTGATGAGACTGGTCTTTTATTCTTCATTTGGAATCCCTCACCACCTGACAAGCACCACAGTGAGGGCTTTATTCCTTCATTTCCACTGAGTGCTGTGTAGTGAGGCTTTTGCTCACATTTGCTATGGACGTTTGGGCCCTTTCTGACCCCAGCACACTGTTTCCCCTCCTCATTGCCCACTTTCTAAGCAGTCAAGTGAGGGAGGCAGATGAGAGGAAAAGGAGGTTACCAATGGTCGTGTGGAGTGGGCCTGGGAATCCTGGCAGAGGGTTCCGCAGAGCTACACAGCCCAGGGTATCCTTCACATACTTTGAGGGCTCACAGGTGAGAGGAGAAACAATTGTATCAAAACCTCTGCTGTCAGGAAAGCTATTTTTGAAGTGAAGTTCCCCAAAGTTTTGAGACTCTGTTCCTTAACATTTAAAAAAAAAAAGTGTCCATATCAGGTGAAAATCTTATAAAGGTGTATTATAAACTCCCTAGCCATCCTTATTTAAGAAACAGAAGTAAACTTAGTATTTTCTTGATTTATTATAAACATGCACTGGTAGCAATTAGGCTTTATTATTAAGGAATCCTCTTGGACTATTGAGTTAAGGACTTTTTTTTCACCTTAATGAATGGCCCCAGAATGCTGTGCTCTGGGGGTTCTCATGGGGGTTTCTTAAAGTTTCTGGTTTTCAGTTGCCACTTCTCCTGCTGTCATTATGCCTATCCCTTTTATACCTGCGTCTAATTTGCTGAAGTCAAGAAGGTGCATAGTCTAAGCTTACTGGAGTTGCATCAAACAGCCTCTAAGCAAGGGTCTGAGGGACTGTCCTGAGATGAGGTACTAGAAAGGTCAACTGCACAGGCTGTAAAGTGGGGTGGTTGATGATGAGCTGTGGCCTTAGCCTTGACTTACTTGGTTTCACTTTCTTCCTCTATAAAATGGGGACAGTCACATACAGTACCTATCACGTTAAATTGCTAAAAGGATTAACCCAAGGCATTTAGTTGTATATTATCAGTTCTGTCCACAGATCAATTTATTCTTAGTTCCAGTTCCATTAGATAATTCCATAGGAGTCCTCAAACTCTGTAGGTTAAAGACCAAAATCATAACTCTCCATCCTAAACCTTTTCTTTCTGTCTGTGCTCCACATTTCAGACAATGGCACCACCATACTCCCAGTCACCCAATCTTAAAACCATAGTAGTGCTTCTTTTTAAATCTTTTTTATTCCCCAGCCATGCTATGCAGCTTGCAGGATCTTAGTTCCCCAGTCGGGGATTGTACCTGGGCCACAGCAGTGGAAGTACTGAGTCTTAACCACTGGACCACCAGGGATTTTCTGGTAGTACCTCTTAAAATTCCTCCCTGTCCTCCACACCCAGTCAGTTTTCAAAGCACACTGCCTTTTCCCTAGTCAAGGTGCTGTTCCATGGACTATCAGGGATGTAACCTAAGTCTTGACTCTCTTCTCTCTACTTGCCTTCCACAACTGCCAGATCCTGGAAGCATCATGCCTGCAGGACAAATCCCACACTTTTTAGCCCTGTCTTCAAGGCTCACTGGGCTTCCCAGGTGGCTCAGTGATAAAGAATCCTCCTGCCAATGCAGGAGACACGAGAAACACAGGTTCTATCCCTGGGTGGCGAAGATCCCCTGGAAAAGGAATGGCAACCCACTCCAGAATTCTTGCCTGAGAAATCCTATGGACAGAGGAGCCGGGTAGGATACAGTCCGTGGGGCAGCAAAGAGTCGGACACAACTGAGCACATCCAGGGTCATTATGATCTGGCCACAGCTCTTTGTTTCTAAATTTATTTCTCCCCTCCTTTATTTACTCTTTGATTCACATGTCAATTTTCTACATTTTTCCTTTGCTGGCCTTTTCTACATACATTCTTTGCTTCTCTGGGTTTTCCCGTATACTGTTCTGTCTTCTAGAATACCTTGGTCTCCACCTCTGTGTGTCCAAACCTTACCAGTCTTTTAAAACTTTGATTTCATGCTGCCTTCAAAAGCCTCACGTGATCCTCTAGCTTGTGTGTGCTGTGCTTAGTCGCTCAGTCGTGTCCAGCTCTTTGCGACCCCATAGACTGTAGCCCCCACCAGGCTCCTCTGTCCATGGGGATTCTCCAGGCAGGAATACTGGAGTGGGTTGCCATGTCCTCCTCCAGGGGATCTTCCCAACCCAGGGATCGAACCCAGGTCTTCCGCATTGTAGGTGGATTCTTTACCGTCTGAGCCACCAGGGAAGCTTCCCCTCCAGCTTGTATCATAAAAGCCTACATTTATGTAATGCTATGTAAGAACCAGGAACTCTTCTGCACTGTCTTATTTAATTTTTATGACAATTTAATTTCCACAGCAAATCTATGCAGTGAGAGTTACTGTGATCTGCATTTTACAGGTGAGAAAACTGAGGAACAGGGAGCTAAAGTGACTTGTCCAAGGTCACAGAGCTAGTAAATGGTGAAGCCAGAATGGGAATCCAGGCAGCCTGGCTCCTGTTAGCTCTCAGGTCAGGGCATGCAAACCTCTCTTAGGGCCTTGGTCAGTTTCTGCCTCCTTATTAGTTAACATGACTTATCTTGTCTACTTGAAAGTGAAAGTGCTAGTTGCTCAGTTGTGTCCACTCTTTGCAACCCCATGTGCTGCAGCTCACCAGGCTCCCCTGTCCATGGAATTCTCCAGGCAAGAATACTGAAGTGGGTAGCCATTTCCTTCTCCAGGGGATCTTCCTGACCTAGGGATCGAACCTGAGGTCTCCTGCACTGCAGGCAGATTCTTTACCATCTGAGCCACATATCTTGTCCATTTACGCAGTGAATTTTTTGAGAGTAGATAAAAAAAATTGATCTATAACAGTATATTCTGAATTTCTTGAACTGGCAAATATTTATTTAATTTTTTTAAACAAATATAAAGTCAACAGAACATTCTATAGCAATAAAAATAAATGATCCAGAGCAGGATTGACAAACAGTAGTCCTTGGGCTAAATCTGACCCAATTCCTATTTGTGTGTGGTCCAAGAGCTAAGATTTTTTTTCCAAATTTTATTTTTTTTAATTATGGAAGTATGATAACACATTTATAGGAGACTTGGAAAATATAGAACAAGGTTACATATAGTTCCACTGTATAATTATTTTAAGTAGATAAATTAAGACTTACAGTTGGAATTTCAATAACAAACTCTCAAAAATTATTGGAATTAATATGTAGAGAAGTAGAAGGATATAGTAGACCTGAAAATCACTGTGAACCGATTAAGCATAATTAATATTTATACAATTTTTATACAACAGCAGGATACTAATTCAAATTCCCATAGACTGTAAACTAGGAGACATTGGAACATATCCAGAACATAAAACAAGATGTGAAATTTCATGGTCTAAAGGTGTTGCAGTCATACAGAATCTGTTCTCATCACTGTGGAATTATGTTAGAAATCAATATCAAAAGGTATTTGAAAATAATCCATATCTTTTCAAGTGCAATGTGACATTTACCAAGAGAGATCTTCAACTTAGCCATTGAAAGCTTCAGTAAAGTTAGAATGAAAAAAACAGAGGTTGATTGCAGAGAAAAAAGCATTTACATAAGAAATTAGTATCAAAATGAGAAATTAATATTAAAGATACTTTCAACAAAATCCCATGTACATGGAAATTAAATTAATTTTACACTTTTTAAGGGATTGAAAATAGAATATGTCATGACATGTGAAACTTTTATGCAAATAAAGATTTACTGGAATCCAGACAGGATTTCTATGGCTGCTTTTGTATCACAGTGGGCTTTATTACATGTAAAGCCTGCAGTATTTACTCTTTGGCCATTTATAGAAAAACTTGCCAATCCCTGACCTAGAGCTACATGTAATAACATGAAAATGTCTTTGAAACAGCACTGAACAAAAAAGTATAAGCAGTATGCCACTTATATAAAGTTTAAAAATAAGCAAAACAGGACCAATTTTGTTTAGGGACCCACATGCAGTACAACTATAAAGACATGCATGGGAACAATAAATAATAAATTCAGGGGAAAGTTTATCTCTAGGGGCTGGGATGGGCATGCCTTTGGAGCAGAATACACAGGGAATTTTAACTGTTTGCAAGCAAGGTGGAGGGTATACAGCATTCCTTGTATTAAAAATTAAAACATAACATAGATGTAATACTGACAAAAATGTTTCATAAGAAATAAATAAATGAGGTTCATGGACTTTAACTTCTATTTTGGCTGACTGAAAATATATTTGGCTTTTACCTAGAAGGCGATGGCACCCCACTCCAGTACTCTCGCCTGGAAAATCCCAGGGACGGGGTAGCCTGGTGGGCTGCAGTCCATGGGGCCGCTGAGAGTCGGACACAGCTGAGCGACTTCACTTTCCCTTTCATGCATTGGAGAAGGAGATGGTAACTCACTCCAGTATTCTTGCCTGGAGAATCTCAGGACCGGGGAGCCTGGTGGGCTGCCGTCTATGAAGTCACACAGAGTTGGACACAACTGAAGTGACTTAGCAGCAAGGTGTTCTAAAAAGCAAGAGAGTTCCAGAAAAACATCTCTTTCTGCTTTATTGACTATGCCAGAGCCTTTGACTATGTGGATCACAAGAAACTGTGGAAAATTCTGAAAGAAATGGGAATACCAGACCACCTGACCTGCCTCTTGAGAAACCTATATGCAGGTCAGGAAGCAACAGTTAGAACTGGACATGGAACANGACTCATTGGAAAAGACCCTGATGCTGGGAGGGATTGGGGGCAGGAGGAGAAGGGGACGACAGAGGATGAGATGGCTGGATGGCATCACCGACTCGATGGATGTGAGTTTGGGTAAACTCAAGGATTTGGTGATGGACAGGGAGGCCTGGCATGCTGTGATTCATGGGGTTGCAAAGAGTCGGACACAACTGAGCAACTGAACTGAACTGAACTGAAGGTGTTATGGTAAAATATAAACTACTCAAATGGTGTGGAGTTTGCTCAAATTCATGTCCACTGAGTTGGTGATGCTATCTAACCATTTCATCCTCTACCATTCCCTTCTCCCTATCTCTTATCTTTCCCAGGATCTTTCTGATAAATTGGCTCTTTGCATCTGGTGGCCAAAGTATTGGAGCTTTACCTTCAGCATCAGTCCTTCTAATGAATGTTCAGGGTTGATTTCCTTTAGGATTGACTGGTTTGATTTCCTTGCAATCCAAGAGACTCTCAAGAGTCTTCTCCAGCACCACAATTCTAAAGCATCAATTCTTTGGCACCCAGCCTTCTTTATGGTCCAACTCTCACATCCATACCTGACTGTTTGAAAAACCATAGCTTTGACTCTATGGACCTTTGTCGGCAAAGTGATGTCTCTGCTTTTTAACACACTGTCTAGGTTTGTCATAGCATTCCTTCCAAGGAGCAAGAGTCTTAATTTTATGGCTGCAGTCACCATCTGCAGTGATTTTGGAGCCCAAGAAAATAAAATCTGTCACTGCTTCCACTTTTTCCCAGGAATCTCGGGGGCCATCTTAAAATTCTGCTTCCTCCACCTAGCAAGACGTGTTCTCTTAAACACTTCTCTATGAATTCTCCTGGAAGTCTGTAACTTTTCCATAGCACAGTATGCATTGTATCACCATTATTAGGGCACATTTAAAAATTCCTTTTCTGGGCTGAAAATGTCTCGAAATCGGGAAACTTGTCTATACCTGTAGCTCTCATGCTTCAGACGAGGCAGTTGCATGAAGAGGATATTCCTACACATTTGCTGAAAGATTAAAAGTGTGCATAGTATCGTGTGAGGCCTTGCTTCTTTTTTTGATCCAGATCAAAACCCCTCTGACGCGTCTCGGGGAGAATTAATAGCTCCCTCCCTGCACTGTCGTTTGGTGTCACCTCTGTATGAAACGTGTCTCCTTGAAGTATCTTAAGTTAGACTACAGTTTCTTGAAGATAGCACTTCACCTTTATTCCACTTTTATTCCAGTGCACAGCACATCACAGATTTCATTAATTGTTTCATGTTTAAAGTTTTAAAAGAAAGTGTAAAGGGTTTAAAAACTGAGGCAGGTGTAGAGTAGATTTGGGCTCTGACCAGCCCCTTGGAAAAGAGTCCAAGGAGAAGCCAAGAGATACAGAGACCATGGGGAGGAAAGAGAACAGGCAAATCTGTCAGGGTGTGGTCTTTTTTTTTAAAGAAGGGATGCTACAAAATCCCGTCTGCTGTTATGTATGTCTCATTAAGAAATAAATCTGAAGAGCCCTCTATAAAGGACAGCATGAAGGAGCAAAGATTATTCTGGGACTGACAGTTGGGGAACAGTGTTTAACCAAGTTGCTGGGTGGACAGTGACCCTAAGGGAGAGTTGGTAAATGAAAAGGAGCAATGGCTTCTGGTGCTTAAAGAAAGTAGGGATGGTGGTTTTGGCAGGAGGTGCTGACAAAGCCTGCAAGCTCTTAACCTACTCCTGGATTTGGATTTTTTTCTCTTTCACATCTTCTTCTGGTTGTTGGCCTTTGTGACTCCTTTTCCACTTCATGCCTGCCTAAGATCATGAAAAGGCTTCCCAGGTGGCTCAGTGGCAAAGAATCTGCCTGCAGCGCAGGAGATGCAGGTTCGATCCCTGGGTCGGGAAGATCCCCTGGAGAAGGAAATGGCAATCCACTCCAGCATTCTTGCCTGGGAAATCACATAGAGGAGCCTGGCAGGCTACACAATCCATGGCGATGCAAAAAAGGCAGACACAACTTAGAGACTAAACAACAGCAACACAAAGATCATTAAATGGGGCAATTTAAACAGATTTTATCTGAATACTAAGTTTGGGATCAGAAGAAATGGTTGGACATTTTCTGACTGATTCACCAGGAGCCCTGAATCTTCTGGAAACAATTAGGAGGATGGGATAACATAGTCCATTGTTGGAATTAGAGGTGGGCTCGTTACCACTGAAGCACATGCCTTGAGTGTAGGGGAATAATGCTGGAGAACCAAAGGATGACAGAAGAACCCCAGTTCTCCTTAAATGATGGTCAAAGACAAGTTCGCTTAGACCTTCCCTACGATTCTGTTGCTCACAACCCATGTGTTTACTGGCCGAATGGAGAGTTACACTCCCTTTGCAAGACTCGGGAGAGACCCCAACATGGCACACTGCTTCCCCTCGAGGAGTTTACAGCCCCACAAGAAAGGGGATTATAATACAATGCAGGAAGTTAAAGTGCCATGAGGGAAATGCAATCAGAATGATGCAGTGTTTAGAAGAGATTGTGTCTTAGAGAAGGAGGACTTGAATGATGGTTAGGGGAAGTTGGAGGTGGTGGAGGGAGTATTAGGGGAATGGGGCATTGTATGGACAAGGTATAGCCAGCTAGGGACAGAACACACTGAAGAAATGGCAAGTAGCTTCATATGGCTAGAGCCAAGGGTTCCTACTAGGGAGACACAGTCAAAAAGCTGGACAGCGAGAATGAGGCTTAGCTATAGAGAGTCTCAGCTGTCAACTAAGAATCTTGAGAGTGGGTTGGGTAGGGTGAGCAGATAGAGGGGTGGAGGGGGCTTGAGGGGTGGTAGGGGCAGATAGGGAGAGCAAAAGTACAGGTTTTGGTTGCTTTTGTCAGGCTCTTGCATTTCTTTGCCCGGAATGCTTCTGCTCAGCCTCTTCTCTGACCTTCTGTGCACCTATGTCCATAACAAAGCCATCCCTTCCAAAAAGCCTTGCTTTGACCCTCCGAGATGACTGTGACCTCTCCCAGTTCTGAGCTCCCCACAACTTATCATCTGACCCTTTCTGCTGACCTTTGTCACAGCCCACCTGCCAGATAGCTATTTTAAATCTATATCTATTTTACATCCTACACATATTATATACTTGGTAAGCATTTGTAAGTCTGACAGAATTCACTTCCCCTTGAGTGTTCGGCATATAACTTGGGGAAGCAGGGTCATGAAACTTGATGAACCTAATATTTCTACAAGCATGGTGGACAGACCATAGATGAGAATGCATTTCTGCTAAGGCCAGAGGCTGAGATTCGACAGGACCTCGGAATTCATGTTCACCTCATTTTATTAGTGATGCCCAGACAGGTACAATAACTTGCTCAAAGTTACACAGTGAGTTAATGATCTAAAACAGTGTATGTGGAGGGTTTTATCACAGTGCCTAGCACAACAACGGGCATTCAGTACTTCCTCTCTAGCCTCTTGAACTTTAATCAAACACCAAGCTACTTGTAATTTTTTCCATCCTTTATGGAAACTTTACGCTGTTTCTTGCATTTGAGGTTCTGCTTGTACCTGGAGTGAGTGAAAGTCGCTCAGTCATGTCCAACTCTTTGCGACCCTATGGACTATACAGCCCATGGAATAGGCTGTATTGGAATTCTCCTGGCCAGAATACTGGAGTGGGTAGCATTTCCCTTCTCCAGGGCATCTTCCTAAGTTAAGGATCGAACCCAGGTCTCCCACATCGCAGGCGGATTCTTTACCAGCTGAGCATTTCCCTCGCTCCGTTGCATACGTATCCTTTGCACCTGTGTCTGCCTGCCCCCTGAAGATCAACTCAGAAGGTTGGCGCTCTCCATGTATTCTTTGGAACACACTCAGCACCTCACACCATTCCTGGAACATAGCTGTGTTCAGTAGATCTTTATAGAATGAAGGCACAGAGAGGGGCCATCCAGGCCCAGGCCCCAGACCGGAGAGGCAGCCTCCTTATCGTTCTCAGTAACTCACAGGGCCCAGACTGGCTGCTCAGATTCTAATGGTGCGACGGCTTTGCAGAGGAGTGCTGAGCCTCAAACCTCACTGTTTATCTAAGACACTTCTGCTCTTGTTCCTCTTGTAAAATACCAAATAAAAATAGTTCCAGGAACTATGTGGCTGAGAAATTCCAGGCTCTGTCTGAGCTCCTAGATAAAGGCTGTTATTGTTAGGAAGTTGGTCATTAATCCAACCTGCATTCTCTCTGTGCTTTAGTTCCACATCCTTCTAAAGGCACTGAATCTTTTTGTCCTCATTTGCCCTTAAGCCTGGTAACTGGAAAAAAAATTAACTTGACAGCAGTTGATGTAAAAATGATCTAAAGGTATCAGTTGGCTACGAGCACACTTTGTGCTCTGGGCTTGTGACTTTAACTTACTCTCAAAGTACTTTACCAGATGGCTAGTATCCTCATGTAAAAGATGAGAGGAATAACACCTTCCTTGCCAGATTAGTGCAAGAGTGAAAGCAAATAAGATAGGCAGAGGTTCCTGGCATGTGTGCTCAATTGCTTCAGCTGTGTCCGACTCTTTGCGACCCCGTGGACCGTAG